CCAGTTACACTCTCACTCTAGTTACACTCTCACTCCAGTTACACTCTCGCTCCAGTTACACTCTCAATCCAAAGTATTCTAATAAAATGACATATTTCCTGCAGTGTTTTTTCTTAACCTATACTCTTTTCATAAAATTTGTTGTTCTAATTCGCCAGACTGCAGAGAAACGCCGGTTGGTAGTTTACTGAGGCTGCTTATATTGAGCGCTCATATTTACGCTCTAATAGTAGCTTAAATTCAGCGTTAATATTAGCTTGAAATAAGCGCTAATAGTAGCTTTAAATAAGCACTAATGGTATCTTGAAATAAGCGTTAATAGTAGCTTTAAATAAGCGCTAATAGTAGCTTCAAATAAGCGCTAATAGTAGCTTCAAATAAGCGCTAAAAGTAGCCTCTCCAGCTGGCTGAGTGGCGTTTTACGCGCCTGTGCCAATTCATTTTGGGACAAGCCGGGATAGACACTTTGGTGCGTAGTTTTAACGCAGCGATTTGTTTCAGTGTGGGCGGCATCAATCGCACCGAAATTAAGAAATTTTGTGCACTTCGATTCCGCGTTCACGACTGGCACATCCACGCGCTCTGCTGCAGGAACATCTCTGATAGCGAAGGAGGGAGCCAGACTGACTGCTCTTCCCCCGAACTGGCTTGCACGATCGCTCCGTGCACAACCTTCTGTAACAACCCGCTCTCCATTTTGAGAATGAACGGATCGAGATGAAATGCACCCAATGCTGGGATATTCCGAGTCTCTGCGGGCCTGGGCTCTAGTCATATCGATGCCGAGTTGAGAGAAAGCGATATCAATTTTTCTACGTTCCGCCTCAAGTAGGGCGCGTTCCAATGCGATTCGAGCCAGGGTTACTTGAGGATCATCTTCTTCTGTCGTCGGCATAACGATTGTCCTGGGAAAACTCCAGGTGCGGGTAGACCGAAGGCGTCCCTCTGCCGAAGAAACATGCATCGGAGAGGCGCGGTCTACCAAATAGCATAGTTTTTGGTCCAAGGAAACCTGCAAGATTTTCTCTCGCTAGAAGTCTATCAGTTCGATTGCGACAAATGGAAGCCTCGGCTCCGGAGCCGATCTTCTCCGCAGCTGCGGTGAACGCTGCGCCAGCCTCCACAAACAACTGATGTTGCAAGGAAAGCGCTTTCATAGCTGCAATGGTCTCTCTGGCAGAACTGATGACCTCAGGCTTTATGGAGCACAGAAGACTTTTCATTCCTGTGGCGACAGTTTCAAAACTGTCATCTAGCTGTGGCAGCGGGGAGGCCACTCTCTTCCTTCCTGGGTCCGACGTTGACATCATTTTCTAGTCCGGTGATTCACGTTTCGCTCCTAAAGTAAATCAACTTAGTTCGGGAGCTTTGTGGCGCACGATTTAATAAGGGGGAAATGAAGTTCGCAGACTTGATCCGTGTTTTCTTACATTTCGGCGTCGAAACCTGCACTACAGGATTCTACAAGAGTGCTAACATACAAGACACTGAGATCATGGAATGATAATTAGTTTAATGAACACAGTTCCAGAAGGGTGCTGCTTAAATCGAACATACAAGACACCATGATCATATAGAATTATAATTAATTTAATGAACATAGTTCCAGAAGGGAGCTGCTTAATTTCAAGCGAGTGCGACATTCAAGACACGAGATCAATCATACTATACTTAATCTAGTTAATCTCATCGGTCTGTATCATGATCCTAGTGGATTTCACAATTCATCGCAACAATATGAGGCACATACAACGAAACGGGCAATCCTGAACCGTCGAGGGATTACATCTAGCTGACCACAAGTTAAAAATAAGATTTAAATATTCAATATTAGCAATAACAAGGTGACCTTTTGAGGATCTGACAGAGGCAGGCTACTGCTAGAATACTAAGTCTCTGGTCTACAGTACTTTCCAAGCTGGCTGACTGCACGGTAATTAACATGACACAAGGTAAATTCTCAAAGATTCATTAACTTACGGTCTTTGAGGCTCTAGAAAGACGAACGAGGACTTCAATTGTCCAATGCTTTTCTAATGAATTGCTTTTACTACTAGGAATACGATACCTGCAAAATACGGAATACAGTATTTAGACAGGAACTAGACCATTTCACTTCACAGCACGGCAGCTTTTCTGACAATCCCATTCATTCTCAAATCGACGATATTCCCATACAACCAAAGCACACTTGACACGCATTAGCTTAAAAAAGAAGCTAAATCAATTTGCGATGATTAAATGATCATCTGTAACAACTAGCAATTACAAGTATTTTCCACAAGAATTCTATTTTTAGGGTAGAACAGAAATTACTAGATCTAGCTCACGACAATTATCGCTGTGAGATGACGCTGCATTGATTGATTTACATAGTTGATTCAAATCAAACGAATGGATTGAACACATAATTCAAGTATAACAGACATTCTGTGATATGCCGCTGGCTTAGAGAGGCGCCCATCTTCCCTAAGTGACATACAACTTCACATAACAGCATCAGAATGAAAAATAATCACTGATATTCTCACAAACAGCTTTTGCTCACTCATAAAACCTCAATCATCCAGTAAATGCCCATATTTCACATTTGACACATAGAAACACAGAAATAAATTTGGCAGAGCTTCCCTCGTTGCCGATCCAAACTTTAACTGCGCGCGCATCGGGTACATCGGTGCAATGCCGGACTTGAATTTACCGGAATTAGAAGGCATTAGATAATTTGCATACTGCGATACGCATTTAATATTATATTTACTCTACAGTTTATAGTTACTATCTCGAGCTCCTCGGTCAACGATATATTGATACTATATTTTTACACGTGGAAATGAACGTGACAATTGGCATGCTGAGCCGAATGTAAAATAGCAAAGATGCGATACTAAGGCATGACCACCAAGTGATGTGCGGGCAAATGACACCTCACAGGTTTCGTCTGAATGACAATAATACTAAAATGGCAGTATTAAAAACCGTATCCAAAATATAACGAATATGGTGGTATCCAAGATACCTGTCTCAAAGATACTGACAACATGGAGTTCTCAAAGGCCTTTAGACGGGCACGGGACGAATTTCTTCGGAACTTTGATCATAGTTCAAGGAAGTGCGCTGATAACAATTCCAACATGCAATGGTTGGTAATTTGATAGCAGGAGACCTATCCTTAATGATGAGGGCTTCAGATATCATCGGTTTTGTATCGTCGGGTCACAGCATGACGATGCTTTTACAAAGAGTCGTGCTACTGCATTACGATGCTGGTGCAGGCGTTGGAGCATCGCAGACGATGCAGGTGCAAACTTGAGGCATCGTATGGACAGAATGAACCGAACAGTCTATACCATCCCCTTTACTAGTTGCATCAATAAAATTACCATTCAAATGACTTGTTCAGTAAATTTGGAAGTCGTCGGCAATACATTTCCAGAAAATAGATGGTTTTAATGAGATCAACTCGCAGCAGCAAAGTGGTTCCTCTGGTCAGTGAAACGACAGATGATATTCAGTGAGTCAGTTTACTCAATTCCTTTCATTTACACATTGAGTACTGAGGAGTTTTCTCTAAAATGTGTAGCCTCAAAGTTTCAAGTTAAGTTTTCTTTCCTGGCGCAAGCATGTTTACACTTGTAGCAGCAGAGGGTTTACTCATATGTATGTTTTTGAAGAATATGATTCTTCAGCTGGCTCTTAGTCACACAAGAATATTCACATTCTGAGCAGTCAAGAGGTTTTTTAGATGAATGCTTATGAAGAACATGCCTCTTCAGATTTCTCTTAGTCACACAAGAATATTCACATTCTGAGCAGCCAAAAGGTTTTTTAGATGAATGCTTATGAAGAATATGACTCATNGGTTTTTTAGATGAATGCTTATGAAGAACATGACTCTTCAGCTGGCTCCTAGTCACACAAGAATATTCACATTCTGAGCAGCTAACGGGCTTTTTACATGAATGCTTATGAAGAACATTGCTCTTCAGATTGCTTTTAGTCACACAAGAATATTCACATTTCTTGCAGTGATGTGGTTTCTTAGATAAAAGCTTGTAAACAATGTCGTTGGCAGGATTTCGTTCCATGAAACAAACGCATTCTGGCCCCGAACAATGATGCGTTTTTTCTCGACTATGTTTAGCAGAAATGTGTTTCAGAAGTTGAAGCTCTGAACCACAAGAATATTCACAGTCAGAGCATGAGTACAGATGTAAGGATGCCTGCTCATCTAGATGGCGCTGCTGCATTTGGCAGGTAATCTTGGCATCAACAAAACCCCGCTGGGAATACGGGTGCCTCTCGCTGCGCTGCTGGGAGCTGGACGCTTCAGAGACGCCGCTGCTGCCACCAGCGTCTTCTGGATGTCCTGCAGGTGCGGACTGCCTCCTACCCACGTTCTGGGGGAGCATTGACAACAAGGATTTGTACAGGAAATACATTTAAATGAATCATAATTTTATTGGCGCAGACCTGCAACTTTGACCAGAATCTACACGAATTTTAGCTTAAATTATTGTAAAAAGTCATTGAATATAAGTTAATTTAACTGAATTTCATTTGGTAATTTTTTATTTGTTTTATGCGTATTCATATTGTTTTGGACTAAATTTGACATTTTAGGCATTAAGAAGGATTATTTGATTAGCACGTCCTGCTTGAAATACCAAATTCTATTTAATGTTGAACTGTGACTCTTGCGAACTAAAAAGAGCTTAATGACGTTTTAGAGAGAAGATGATGAAGAAATGAAACGCTCGCCACGTACAGAATTTTACAATGAGCGGCTACAATACGGCTCAAAGTTTCTAAAATTCTGTGTCTAGATTTTGCCCCAGATGGTACAGCTCCATGGTTGGCTTCTACGCCTTACTTTTAACCAACATCACAGGGCAGGCAGAAAAATTCACTGTTGAAGTGAAATTGGACAATAATTTTAAACAAACAAAAAGTAAGCAGCAGGTTACCATAACATAGGTTGCGAGGTAGTATGAAAATAGCAGGTTATTATATGGTTAAATTAGCATAAGAATATTTCCATATGTAGAAACTCAAATCCCTGATAATGCGTGATTGAAAAATTCAACCAAGCTTATGAGGCTTTTATGTAAACCATCATGAGGCACATTATTTGAATTTTTTGGAGAGCATTTAAATTCTCAGTCGTCCTAACATACAACCACCCACCACAAGTCCAGGCATGGCAGAGGAGAGCGAAGCGGAACGATGGGCTACGTTTGCATCACGAGCCTCGATTTGAGTTTCCAACTCGTCCGGCCCACCGGATGGTGGAGGTGGAGCTAGCTGGCCACCACACTCAGGGCTGGGAGGTTCACCTGAACTAGCCTGACACAACAATTGGTCACATCAGTCGCGTATACTTAGATAATGTTCTAATGAAGGCAAATTAGTTGTGGTGGATTTTGAAGAAATAATTCGAAGTTGCTCTAAAAGACGAAGTATGCATTAAGTGTATAATATTCCCTCAAACACTTGCATTAGCAACAGAACATTTGAATAGAACTTCGATTCAGTCCTTCATCGTCAACGGTTTCACCTAAAGACCCTGGATTTAAATGAAATATGAATGAGTCGTACATAGCATGCATGGGAATCATTACACCTAACAGGGCTCAAGGAGCAGATGCATGTCAATACGAAGTTCGCTGCCAGAGACATAATAATACAAATTTTATTAGAATGCAAAATAGTGATAAAAACCATAAACTCAGTTATTTATATGATAGCAGTGAAGTGATCATAGAAATCGTGTTGGATCCCAATGCACGGTATAAAACTTGATGTGCTTCACACATTCACTTACAATGAGATGAGAGATGCCTCTCTCTCTGCACTGAAAATCTAAACAAAGAACACAGCACCAAGCCACACCAACCTGTTCCTCAGGCATAGCAGCAGCGTCCTGTGAGGCACATTGATGGGCGTCCTGAGCCTCAACTTGAGCTTCCTCCTTGCATGGCACACAAGATGAGGAAGGTGGAGTTTGCTGGCCAGATGAAACAATCATGAACAGAGTCTTAATTGACGCATTGGTATCAGGACCAAATTATATTTATATGAGTATATTATCAATGCATTTAAGTAGGCTCTTTTCAAAGATAATATTGCTATATTATGTTGTATGAGACTCATATACAGCCCTGCAACATAATTTTTAATAAATTTACTCCATTCAATAAGGAAGCTGAGTTATGGATTTCACAGAAATAGGAGCACAATTTTTCAAGCACTGAATTTCCATTGAAGTTGAATTTAATCCCATGGGGGAAAATATTAATGTCAAATTTGGAATGATCAACAATGAAAAGAAATAGAGTAATAACTTTACCTGATTTTCATCTATATCAATAGGCTCATCCTTCACAGATATGTCAGCCTCCTCATATAGAGGCTCAAGCTTTATGTTAACTGCAACGACTTTAGGGTGTATAGATGAGCCACTGGCATCTGTTGCTGGATAGAATTGGCATGAAATTACATGGTGACAATTAGTACCAAATCTTATATAAACTTATTGACGGAATCCAAACTGTAATTCGTTGTATGCACATGATTGTCAGCAACGCAGCCTTGTTAATATAAATGTAAAGTCATATATGTGTGTTAACCAACAGAATATTATTTTCATCTTCATAATCATACCGCACCGCAAGTAATTGGTGCACTTCAGTGGAATTTATATTTTTTTCCTGTTGATGTGATAGGGATTTTAACAAATTAGGGACTTCCTTGTAAATATAATTTTGTTCTGATTTGAGAAATATGAAAATGCACAACAATACTTCAGGTCTTCTTTTATACATAAATATCTTTTTCAGTGATCTCACTGTATTTCTATTTGTTTGCGGCATGCGACGTCGCTCTAGGCCGCTCGTCAAATCAACCCACCCGTCAAATCAACCTTTTAACTTTTCCCAGAAGTACTTTAACATCGGCGACATCAAACAACACCCCGTTTTATTTGGGACAGGCAAGCCCCACTTGGCGCGTTATGCACACTCAAGCCCCAGTTTGCTCAGCAGTGACGTGTTGTGAGCATCTGTGTTACTCTTCCCCGCGCCAGCCTTGATTCATGTCCTAGTGATATGTAACCTTAACTTATTGGCTAACTCATTTATTTATATCAACTATGAGCCAATCCTAGAACGATGATCATGAGAGTAGCTTTGTCATGAAACATGAATTACCAAATCTACTCATAGCCATAGCTCACCCATGTGTTAAAAATCTCGAGTTCTTCGAATCGTATCGTAAACTCGCTGATACTCAGTGATGTGATTATTATAAAATAGCATTTCAATTTTTACAGCATTTTACGAATATCGAGCTATATTTCGTGACGTTCCCCTTTTAATGTAAAACCTAGGAAATCCCCGAAACCCGCCACGAGTCAAATATGGAGGAGGTATTACCTAACTGCTCCAAGTGGCGCCACCTACAACGCTCCCACCGCCTAACTTCTATTTAAGGCCCTGATTGAAAACCGAGAGGCTTCGAACAGGCTCGGCTCTTCCCTATGCGTTTCTTCACAAATTAGAAAAGACTTTACTGCACTCGTAAATGAGATGGCGATATGGATTATCTATGCTTACCCAGCTATTTATTTATAAAGGGTGGACAGGAACAAAAAATATGTAAACTTTGTATTAAAAGACTTTTAATGAGAGGAAATTTCAGGAAAATGTGAACATTATTGTTCATCAAGTCTGCGAATTTTATACTTTTTTCGAGATGTAAACGGGTTGTAATTTTTAATTCTCCTTTTAATGGTATACTCGGCATTCCTTGATCAGCATCCTTGTTGTAAATATTATTTCTCAAAAAATAGTAATGATCGAGCCTGCTGATACGCGGAGGGAAAATCATGCATACTAGCTGCTCAAATGGAGGCGTTGTGGAAGGTACGAGGGGAAAGAGACGTCGTAAATTACTCGACAGTCAGTCCAAGACGGGCGGCTTGGTGACAGCAAACTAAATGAGGGGCGAAGAATAATACATGGCCAGTGGTCGGCCTAGTCCAATTTGTTATAGCCGACCGTTGGCCATTCTTCGGCCACCTGAAAGCTACCAGTTGCCGCGAGAAAGGGGCTGGCTAGGATATCATATTACGAAGAGTACAAGCTTAAGGGTAGCGACTGGCCGAGCTTCGGGCAGATCAAAATTTTACACGATGGTAGCGAAAACCTCGCTCTCAGACTTCCCTGCATTCTGACTACAAGCCTTAATTAATACGTATAGCCATATTTAAGATTCTCGACTTAGTTGTCACTCACAGTGAGCTAATCCATTATTGATCACTCATAGCTGACCACAATTATCATTGTTATCTTGATAGCCTACTCCCTGGATTTCTCTACTAGGATTTATTTCAGAAACCATGAAGCGTCATAGCCAAGATGCCGTCCGGTTTTCTTCGACTCAATCATAGAGAAAAGTTGAGGGAGACTACTTTGTTCTCCGCCTACCGCCTCAGCTACACGGCCCTACTGCCGACTTGTGCTTCATTGCATATCTTTTGATTTGTAATATATTTGGTAAATTTAAGATATTTTCCTCTGAATGTAATCTCTAATCTCACGCTTTCAGGTATCGTAATCGTATTTCAAGCTCAACCGTAGCCGTTGGCACTATAATCACAAACAAAGGTCAGCCCAGCGTTGGCACTATAATCGTAATTAAAGCCCAACCCCATGGTTGAACTAGTATAAGGTTGACCCATGAAAAGTTCATTTTTGCGGATGCAGTTCGTTGTTCGTCTGTGACATCACTGATCTCAGTGATGTCACGGGCATTAACCAATCACCAAAATGCGATCAAACCAGTCAACCAATCCGTCTTGGGAATGACGGGATTGTTTACGTTTCTCGATCTCATTGACGTAACAAGAAAGCAGAACTGAGACGGAAATCTTCGTGGGTCAACCTTATATAGTTCAACCATGGCCCAACCCAGCGTTGACAAATGCAACCATAACCATGGAAATGTCAATAATGGGTATACCGTACCTGGCCTAACTTTCCTTGAAGCTTTCATTGCAAACGTAGCTATCAGTAAAGATGTGTCTCTTCTTTTTGCCTGCCAAAACCACCTTGTGTAAGTAACTAATGAAATACTGCGCAATTGACCATACTGACACAAACCATTCCTATCATGCCAGATGTAATCTTGTCATCGAGTAGCTAATTAAAAAAGCTCGTTATTAATTAAGTCCAAACAATGGGAGTCTAGCCCCCACCTAATGTGAGTTTCTTGTATGTCTTTCTCGACCTGGTAATTAATATTAAATCTCATTTCCAGCTTACGTCACCATTGTCACCAACGACCGCAAATAAAAACTACAAAAAGAAACAGCGTTTCTTCTTGCCCACCAAACCACATCCATGTCACGGTAAATACCTGATGGGGAAGGTGGAGCTAGCTGGCCACCACACCCAGGGCTGGGAGGCTCTCCTGAACTATCCTGGCAAAACAGGTGGTCACATCAGTCGCGTATACTTGAATAATATCCTAATGAAGGCAAATTAGTTGTGATGGGTTTTGAACTAATAACTTAAAATTGCTCTCAGAGATAAAGTATTGAGTGTAAAATATTACCTCAAACACGTGCATTTGCAGTTGAACATTCGAATATAATATCGATGCAGTCATTCATCATCAAATGGTTTCACCTAAAGAACCTCGATTTAAATGAAATATGAATGAATCGTATACAGCATGCATGGGAATGATTACACCTAACAGGGCTCAGGGAGCAGATGCATGTCAATACGAAGTTCACTGCCAGAGACATAATCATACAAATTATATTAGAATGCAGAGTAATGATCAAAAACCATTAACTCAGTTATTCGTATAATAGCTGTTAATTGATCATAGAAATCGTGTTGGATCCCAATGCACGGTATAAAACTTGATGTGCTTTACACATTCACTTACAATGAGATGAGAGATCACTCTCCCTCATTTGCACTGAAAATCTAAACAAAGAACACAGCACCAAGCCACACCAACCTGTTCCTTAGGCATAGCAGCAGCGTCCTGTGAGGCACATTGATGGGCGTCCCGAGCCTCAACTTGAGCTTCCTTCTTGCATGGCACAGAAGATGAGGAAGGTGGAGTTTGCTGGCCAAATGAAACAATCATAAACAGAGACTTCATTGACAAATTGGTATATGAGGACCAAATTATAAATATAGGAGAAAATTATCCATGCATTCAAGTAGGCTTTTTTCACAGATAATATAACTATATTATGTTGTATGAGACTCATCTACAGGCTTGTAACATAATTTTTAATCAATTTATTCCATTCAATGCAGAAGCCAAGTAATGAATTCCACAAAAATAGGAGTATATTTTTTCAAGCAATAGATTTCCATAGAAGTTGAAATAAATCCCATGGGGGAATTTATTAAAATTAAATTTGGAATGATCAACAAAGAAAAGATATAGAGTAATAACTTTACCTGATTTTCATCAATATCAATGGGTTCATCCTTCACAGATATGTCATCCTCCTCATATAGAGGCTCAAGCTTGATGTTAACTGCAACGACTTTAGGGTGTAGAGATGAGCCACTGGCTGCTGTTGCTGGATAGAATTGATATGAAATTACATGTTAATAACAACTAATGACGAAACATATCAACACATCGATAAAAGCCAATCAATAACACATTGTCTGCACACAATTGTGAGCAATGCAGTCCTGTTATAATGAATGAAAAGACATATATGCAGGATATTCCACAGAATATTATTTTTAGCTACACAGTCCTACCTCAGATAATTGATTCATTGCTAAATCTACAGCTTACCATCAGACTTAATTTTGCCAACACCAGAAGGCCTTAGCAGGCGGTTCAGCCCAGACCACCAGCCCTTTTCAACTGCATCGTTGGAGAGTTTGTGCATCACAACACGACATTCTTTCATATCATCCATTATGATATCCATTAGATTCTACTGGGTCCAATTTGAAGAAGCTTCTTAAAATTAAACAACAATTGGCCCAATTGACATATAAAAGTACTTACTGCACACAAATAAAAAATACAGTGACACGACTAAAAAATATTTTTGGTATAAAATAATACCTGAATATTGATAGTGGGACCTCTGAGTGTTGTAGTGTATTTTCATATTTGCATATTAAGAAAAAAATATATTAATTTGGATGTCCCTAATTTGGTAAAATCCTCATCACATCAACAGCAAAAAAGTATCAATTGATATCAACAGCAGCTTGGAAAAATTCTAAATAAAGGACTACAACAAGCATTGCCCAAACCATTGTTTGTACTGCTTCTAAATGGCATTGTTGCTGTGTGTCTCTCTAATAGGCAAGACCAAAAAAATTGAATAGGTACTTTAGTTTTTTAGGTGGCAAAAACCTATAAGATTGCTCATTTATTACTGTCAATATAAATGGAGTGCAGGATACAGTTCTATGCAATGGTTAAAGGTTAAAAATTAAAGGTTAAATGGGTTAAAGGATGGATTTCAGAGTAATGTAAGAATTACATTATCAAGCAAAAAAACAGAGCACATCAAGCAATTTTTTTTTGACACCTTGAAACTACTTTATTAATAATGCTACAGATGTTACAGGAAGTACTCTGGAAGATGTTTTTAGTGACTCCCTCCGTATGCTATTATTGGTGACTTAATGTGATTGAGGATGTTTGTCGCATCAGGGTTTTCAAACCAGTAATTTGTCTGATGGTCTCCACCTCCCCTACAGCCATCCTAAACTAACAGTTTGAAATCTTTTGTGTTTTTGAAAATTTTATTCATTTACTAAAGTGAAGAACAATTACAATTTACTGAAGTAACAGCTGGTAAAAATGGAGTACAGAGGCCAGGAGCAAAGTCAAAGCACGGGAGTCCACTATTGTATTTAGTTATTCATTCAATATTTCCCTGCTTCATCTCAGTTATGAAAAGTCAAACATTAATTAG